TCCCACTCTGCCTCACACCTCCCACTCTGCCTCACACCTCCCACTCTGCCTCACATCTCGCACTCTGCCTCACACCTCCCACTCTGCCTCACACCTCCCACTCTGCCTCACACCTCCCACTCTGCCTCACACCTCGCACTCTCCCTCACACCTCCCACTCTGCCTCACACCTCCCACTCTGCCTCACACCTCGCACTCTGCCTCACACCTCCCACTCTGCCTCACACCTCCCACTCTGCCTCACACCTCGCACTCTCCCTCACACCTCCCACTCTGCCTCACACCTCCCACTCTGCCTCACACCTCCCACTCTGCCTCACACCTCCCACTCTGCCTCACACCTCCCACTCTGCCTCACACCTCGCACTCTGCCTCACACCTCCCACTCTGCCTCACACCTCCCACTCTGTATCACACCTCCCACTCTGTCTCACACCTCGCACTCTGCCTCACACCTCCCACTCTGCCTCACACCTCCCACTCTGCCTCACACCTCCCACTCTGCCTCACACCTCCCACTGCCTCACACCTCCCACTCTGCCTCACACCTCCCACTCTGCCTCACACCTCCCACTCTCCCTCACACCTCCCACTCTCCCTCACACCTCCCACTTTGCCTCACACCTCCCACTCTCCCCACACCTCCCAGTCTGCCTCACACCTCCCAGTCTGCCTCACACCTCCCACTCTGCCTCACACCTCCCACTCTGCCTCACACCTCCCACTCTTCCTCACACCTCCCACTCTCTCTAACACCTCTCACTCTCCTCACACGCCCACTCTGCCTCACACCTTCCACTCTCCCCTCACACCTCTCATCTCTCCTCACACACACCCACTCTCACATCTCCCACTCTGCCTCACACCTCCACTCTCTCCTCACACCTCCCACTCTCCCTCCACCTCCCACTCTCCTCACACCTCCCCACTCTCCCTCACACCTCCCACTCTGCCTCACACCTCCCACTCTCCTCACACACCCACTCTGCCTCACACCTCCCACTCTGCCTCACACCTCCCACTCTCCTCACACGCCCACTCTGCCTCACACCTCCCACTCTGCCTCACACCTCCCACTCTCCTCACACGCCCACTCTGCCTCACACCTCCCACTCTCCCTCACACCTCCCACTCTCCTCACACCCCCCCCTTTCTCTCAGGTTTTCTTTTCTCTATCTCTCCCTCATAAATTCGGTGTCCCGTGCCTCCTCTTGTCTCCCCCTCTTATACCTCTCATTTCCTCTCTAACATACCCACCTTACCCTCATGACGACCCTTTATTCATCCCCTTCAGTATTATACTTTCCCCTCTACTTATCTTTCATTTTCCTTCAAATCCCCCTTCGTCTCCCTCTTTCATATTTCTCCCGCTCTCTTGTTCTCTCTCTCTCTCTCTCTCTCTCTCTCTGTTTCTCCTACCCCTTCCGCTCCTTCCCTCTCTACCCCTCCCAATTCTCTCCCATAGTCCTTTTCCTCTTCTCCCTCTCCTTCCTTCTGTTCCCCTTCCGTCGCCTCCCTTTTCTTTCTTCCTTTTCCTCCTCTACTCTGCCAGTCAGCGTCGCAGCAGTTACCCAGTTGCACCATAATTACTCAGAAGAATCTTAGGTCCATACAGTAACTAACACAGCACATGAGGAACACAGCACATGACCAACACTGCACATGATGAACACAGCACATGACTAACACAGCACATGACTAACACAGCACATGACCAACACAGCACATGATGAACACAGCACATGACTAACACAGCACATGACTAACACAGCACATGACCAACACAGCACATGACCAACACTGCACATGATGAACACAGCACATGACTAACACAGCACATGACCAACACAGCACATGACTAACACAGCACATGACTAACACAGCACATGACCAACACAGCACATGATGAACACAGCACATGACTAACACAGCACATGACTAACACAGCACATGACCAACACAGCACATGACCAACACTGCACATGATGAACACAGCACATGATGAACACAGCACATGACTAACACTGCACATGATGAACACAGCACATGACTAACACAGCACATGACTAACACAGCACATGACCAACACAGCACATGACCAACACTGCACATGATGAACACAGCACATGATGAACACAGCACATGACTAACACTGCACATGATGAACACAGCACATGACCAACACAGCACATGACCAACACTGCACATGATGAACACAGCACATGACTAACACTGCACATGATGAACACAGCACATGACCAACACAGCACATGACCAACACTGCACATGATGAACACAGCACATGATGAACACAGCACATGACCAACACTGCACATGATGAACACAGCACATGATGAACACAGCACATGACCAACACTGCACATGACCAACACAGCACATGACCAACACAGCACATGACCAACACAGCACATGACCAACACAGCACATGACCAACACAGCACATGACCAACACAGCACATGACCAACACAGCACATGACCAACACAGCACATGATGAACACAGCACATGATGAACACAGCACATGACCAACACAGCACATGATGAACACGGCACATGATGAACACAGCACATGACCAACACAGCACATGATGAACACAGCACATGACCAACACAGCACATGACCAACACAGCACATGACTAACACAGCACATGACCAACACAGCACATGACCAACACAGCACATGACTAACACAGCACATGATAAACACAGCACATGACTAACACAGCACATGACCAACACAGCACATGACTAACACAGCACATGATGAACACAACACATGACCAACACAGCACATGACTAACACAGCACATGATGAACACAGCACATGACTAACACAGCACATGACCAACACAGCACATGACCAACACAGCACATGACTAACACAGCACATGACTAACACAGCACATGACTAACACAGCACATGATGAACACAGCACATGACTAACACAGCACATGACTAACACAGCACATGACCAACACAGCACATGACTAACACAGCACATGACCAACACAGCACATGACCAACACAGCACATGACCAACACAGCACATGACTAACACAGCACATGACTAACACAGCACATGACCAACACAACACATGACTAACACAGCACATGACTAACACAGCACATGACTAACACAGCACATGACTAACACAGCACATGACCAACACAGCACATGACTAACACAGCACATGATGAACACAGCACATGACTAACACAGCACATGACTAACACAGCACATGACCAACACAGCACATGACTAACACAGCCCATGACTAACACACCACATGACTAACACAGCACATGACTAACACAGCCCATGACTAACACAGCACATGACTAACACAGCACATGACTAACACAGCACATGATGAACACAGCACATGACTAACACAGCACATTACCAACACAACACATGACTAACACAGCACATGACTAACACAGCACATGACTAACACAGCACATGACTAACACAGCACATGACCAACACAGCACATGACTAACACAGCCCATGACTAACACAGCCCATGACTAACACAGCACATGTCTAACACAGCACATGACCAACACAGCACATGACTAACACAACCCATGACTAACACAGCACATGACTAACACAGCACATGACTAACACAGCACATGATGAACACAGCACATGACTAACACAGCACATGACTAACACAGCACATGACTAACACAGCACATGATGAACACAGCACATGACTAACACAGCACATGACTAACACAGCACATGACTAACACAGCACATGACCAACGCAGCACATGGCTAACACAGCACATGACTAACACAGCACATGACTAACACAGCACATGACTAACACAGCACATGATGAACACAGCACATGACTAACACAGCACATGACTAACACAGCACATGACCAACACAGCACATGACCAACACAGCACATGACCAACGCAGCACAGACTAACACAGCACATGACTACACAGCACATGACTAACACAGCACATGACTAACACAGCACATGACCAACGCAGCACATGACTAACACAGCACATGACTAACACAGCACATGACTAACACAGCACATGACTAACACAGCACATGACCAACACAGCACATGACTAACACAGCACATGACCAACTCAACACATGACCAACACAGCACATGACTAACACAGCACATGACTAACACAGCACATGACCAACACAGCACATGACCAACACAGCACATGACCAACACAGCACATGACTAACACAGCACATGACTAACACAGCACATGACTAACACAGCACATGACTAACACAGCACATGACTAACACAGCACATGACCAACACAGCACATGACTAACACAGCACATGACTAACACAGCAATGACTAACACAGCACATGACCAACACAGCACATGACCAACACAGCACATGACTAACACAGCACATGACTAACACAGCACATGACTAACACAGCACATGACCAACACAGCACATGACTAACACAGCACATGACTAACACAGCACATGACTAACACAGCACATGACTAACACAGCACATGACTAACACAGCACATGACCAACACAGCACATGACCAACACAGCACATGACTAACACAGCACATGACTAACACAGCACATGACCAACACAGCACATGACCAACACAGCACATGACTAACACAGCACATGACTAACACAGCACATGATCAGTGCTAATAGTCATCTACATTTGCTTAATCTCATCTTGATTTTCCTTGTCTTTTTTTCTTTTCTTCTTTTTTCATGTGTCTCAAGTCAATTGTAGCGCTATTACTGAGGTGTATGAAGTAAGCACTCCAGCAGTGAGTGTTGGGGAGGACTGTGTGTTGGATGAGGGAAGGTGGGAGGTACTGTGTGGAATGTAACTGTGTTCCAGCCTGGGTAAGAGGTACTGTGTGCATTGTAATTGTTTTAGGCTGGGTAGAAGGGTGTTGTGTGTAATCTAACTGTGCCCTGTGTTTCAGGAGGGATACATCAGTGGGGACTCGCCTCATCCGGTGTACCTGGTGTCCAGCGTGGGGGGACTAGCAGCCACCGTCACCTCCGGCAACTCCACCCCCTCCCACGACGTCAAGGTGGAAGAGGAGGACCCCCTTGATGACAACAACTCGTTCAGCGATGACCCAGCCTCTGGCGTGGGCGACAACGACGAGTCGTCCATGGTAAGTCTCACTATAGTACCTCCATTGTCGTATACACGACAGACTGCAGACTCAACCAGGGTGGAGTCTTGTGGTGGTAGGCAGGAGGTTGTTTGAAGGTGGTGGCAGTAGGCCTAGCTTGAACTGGTATGCTGGGGGTTGTGTCTAATGTGTGGTCTTGTCGGTTTATAGGGCTTCTTGACAACTTACACCGTATCGAACCCTAATGTTGAGTGTTTACCTCCTGTGTACCTGCTTATTCCTCGGATCATCACCCTCCCTCCCGGTTCCAGGCCATACCTGGTCACTCAGACTTTTGTGGGTGCTGGCTACACACTGTTCAAAGTAGGCATCAGTAGTTGGGTGGTCAGGAATGTCATAAAGGAACATATCACATTTCTTTCTTAGATACGACTGTACTGAATTAATAACAGGTTGCGGAACAAGGTTTATCGGGACACAGTTTCCTCTTTGTGTAGAGCTTTATCAGTTTAGTGATTTGATAAAGTTCTCTACAGAGCAAAACGTTGTCACAGTAAAAAAAAAAAAACTTGTTGTGCAACCTAGATTGTTAAGGTTGTACTAGTTGAGGGTGTTGTAAGCTAACACTGCAGCAGCACGTGCGACTTGTGACACGGGGATGTGACCACAGCCTTCAATGTCACTGCTTCACCCTCACCCTGTCTAAGTTGTCTGTCTCTTTTTTTTTATTTTAGGAAAAGGAGAAGTTTTATGATCGTTCAGAGGTTTGAAAATAAACTGTGAATGGTTAATAAATTTTTTGGATGCTATGATGTATTGGAACTGGTTTGTTATATCCTTCATTTAAAGAGTAAAGAAAAGTGCACTTATTCTTACGCACACACACACACACACACACACACACACACACACACACACACACACACACACACACACACACACACACACACACACACACAAACACACACACACAGGAGCTCGGACTCGACCCTCGCAACCTCAACTAGGTGAGTACACACACACACACACACACACGATGTAGTGGAGGCAGGATCCATACATAGCTTTAAGCAGAGGTACGATAAAGCTCACGGCTCAGGGAGAGTGACCTAGTAGCGATCAGTGAAGAGGCGGGGCCAGGAGCTCGGACTCGACCCCCGCAACCTCAACTAGGTGAGTACAACTAGGTGAGTACACACACACACACACACACACACACACACACACACACACACACACACACACACACACACAGAAGGGGCTCCAGAAAGACGGAGAGGTGGGGTACACCACCATGTGCTGGACACAGTACACACAACCGAGGAAGAAGTGAAGAGGCTTCTGAGTGAGCTAGATACCTCAAAGGCAATGGGGCCAGATAACATCTCTCCATGGGTCCTGAGAGAGGGAGCAGAGGCGCTATGTGTACCCCTAACAACAATATTCAATACATCTATCGAAACAGGGAGATTGCCTGAGGCATGGAAGACAGCAAATGTGGTCCCAATCCTTAAAAAAGGAGACAGACATGAAGCACTAAACTACAGACCAGTGTCACTGACATGTATAGCATGCAAAATCATGGAAAAGATTGTCAGGAGAAGAATGGTGGAACATCTAGAAGGGAATGATCTCATCACCAGCAGCCAACATGGTTTCAGAGATGGGAAATCCTGTGTCACAAACCTACTGGAGTTCTATGACATGGTGACAGCAGTAAGACAAGAGAGAGAGGGGTGGGTGGATTGCATTTTCTAGGACTGCAAGAAGGCTTTTGACACAGTACCACACAAGAGATTAGCGCAAAAACTGGAGGACCAAGCAGGGATAACAGGGAAGGCACTGCAATGGATCAGGGAATACTTGTCAGGAAGACAGCAGCGAGTAATGGTACGTGGCGAGGTGTCAGAGTGGGCACCTGTGACCAGCGGGGTCCCACAGGGGTCAGTCCTAGGACCAGTGCTGTTTCTGGTATTTGTGAACGACATGACGGAAGGAATAAACTCCGAGGTGTCCCTGTTTGCAGATGACGTTGATGAGAAGAGTTCATTCGATCGAAGACCAGGCAGAACTACAAAGGAATCTGGACAGGCTGCAGACCTGGTCCAGCAACTGGCTCCTGGAGTTCAATCCCACCAAGTGCAAAGTCATGAGGATTGGGGAAGGGCAAAGAAGACCGCAGACGGAGTACAGTCTAAGGGGCCAGAGACTACAAACATCACTCAAGGAAAAAGATCTTGGGGTGAGTATAACACCAGGCACATCTCCTGAAGCGCACATCAACCAAATAACTGCCGCAGCATATGGGCGCCTAGCAAACCTCAGAACAGCATTCTGACATCTTAATAAGGAATCGTTCAGGACCCTGTACACCGTGTACGTTAGGCCCATATTAGAGTATGCGGCACCAGTTTGGAACCCACACCTAGCCAAGCATGTAAAGAAACTAGAGAAAGTGCAAAGGTTTGCAACAAGACTAGTCCCAGAGTTAAGAGGTATGTCCTATGAGGAGAGGTTAAGGGAAATCAACCTGACGACACTGGAGGACAGGAGAGATAGGGGGGACATGATAACGACTTACAAAATACTGAGAGGAATTGACAAGGTGGACAAAGACAGGATGTTCCAGAGACTGGACACAGCAACACGGGGACACAGTTGGAAGCTGAAGACACAGATGAATCAAAGGGATGTTAGGAAGTATTTTTTCAGCCACAGAGTAGTCAGGAAGTGGAATAGTTTGGGAAGCGATGTAGTGGAGTCAGGATCCATACATAGCTTTAAGCAGAGGTACGATAAAGCTCATGGTTCAGGGAGAGTGACCTAGTAGCGACCAGTGAAGAGGCGGGGCCAGGAGCTTGGACTCGACCCCTGCAACCTCAACTAGGTGAGTACACACACACACACACACACACACACACGGGGCAAGAGCTGCGAGTCGACCCCTGCAACCACAAATAGGTGAGTACACACACACACACACAAGGGCCAGGAGCCATGAATCGACCCCTTGCAACCACAATTAGGTGAGTACACACACACACACACACATCTATATCTACTTGGAGTAGAGTTGCCAACTAGGTGTTATGTGCATGAGTCTAGTATTGATAAAAATAATCTGATTTGCCAGTTGCCTGCTGCATGGGTGGAGGTTCCAGTTACCATAATATTGTAGCAATTGTTTGCTCATTTAAGCATATACTAGTTCCTATAATGTTTCCACAACCAGTAACGTACAAATCTTAACGTATTAATTCCCTATTGATACTTGGCTGAGTTTTGCTTGTCCTCATCAATTACATTTTCTCATTTTAGCATAAAGAATGTAATCATAAAATAACTAACTGATAATAACAAATGTAACCTTGAAGCTAACAATGTAATCCTTGCCAAACTTGTAATGTTGTAGTGCTAGTCTGGCCTAACTAACAATTTTGCCCGCACGCCAAGTTAGTCGATGACAAGTTATTCTTTAGCTGGTTATTCAATCTCCTAAGTATTAATTAGCCAGGTAGCTAGTCTCTGATTATGACTACTGCAATTTGCATAAAGTTAATATGAATTACAATGTTAGTGATGTAGAGCCAGTTAGAACAAGACTCGGGGGATGTTAGAGACAGCAAGACTCAGGGGATGTTACAGTTAAAGCAAGACTCAGGTGATATTAAAGACAGAATAAGACTTGGGTGATGCTAGAGCCAGTAAGAACAAAACTCGGGTAGTAACTGTGAATCGTGAAATAGTTAAGAGCTGGTTTAAGAAAATTTACACTTATAGGATTGTGTCCAGGTGTGATGCAGTAGATGACCTGAGTGATATACGTACACAGCAGTGATGTACACAGATAATATTGTTGTACACATCTAGTGGTGGTGTTCACCCATTGCTGATGTTTGCAGACAGTAGTGATTTGTACAGATAGTACAGTTGTACACCATAACATTAAGATTTAGTGTAGGCATTATCAAACTTACTGATTGTTCGTTATGTGAAGAAGAGAACGAGGAAGTAAGGACACTTAATAAAGGTATCATAGGCTGAGTATGCCACTGTAAGAGATGTAGGAGATGCTAGGAGCCGGAGAGACCTTTGTAGCACTCTAAGAAAATAAGAGAATGTCTCCTTTGGGAAGGGTGGTGTCTTGAATGCCACTCCTGTTTATGAGCATTGCCTGTGCTGCTCATGATGTTATCATTGTAAATGCTTCACAGTAGAACATGACTGAGGTAATGGATTTTCCTAGGTTTCTGTTATTCGCTCTTTCTGTGACCTTTTCAAGCTTTGTGATCACTTACTGAGAATTAGGGATAATTACAGTTAAGCCTCAGTGGCAGATTGCAGTGTAGCAAATGGTGCTGGCCTGTATAGTGAGCTGAATCACAGTAGTATTGTTGGCATTGTTATTGACAGACACACCTGGGAACAATGAATACAAGCTTGTTAGAAGTTTATCACTAATTGTAGTAAATTTGGGATGGATAAAACTAGACCTAATTTTTATTAGAAGTAGGTAAAATAAGTTTTCACACAGAGCCTAGCTTATGAAGCATAGTAAAATTTGCAAGCAGTTCATGCCTTTGTTATGACTATTAAATATAGTAATATGGTCTCCTCAAGCCAGAACTGGTTATGAGTGAATAGTGTGAGCATGTCATGTAGAGGTTTAAGGAGTAGGTAGGTGTGGAGTAGGTAGGCGTGTGAAGTGGGTAGTAGGAGTGGCGTGCGGGCAGAGGTGGTGACTGTGGCGGTGGTTGCAGGCTGGCTGCTTCAGTGAGGACCTGCTAGGGTTGGCCAGGGACAAGCTGACCTACCCTTGTCGCTACTGTGGCAAGCGGTTCACGCAGACGGGCACCTGCCGACGACATGAGAGGCTACATACAGCACCCAACAGCTTCAAGTGCCCCATCTGCCAGAAGGGCTTCAACCGCAAGTACCGCCTCAAAGAGCACATAGTGGCCTCACATCCTCACCACTCTGAAGAAGGTGATATCTCCCTCATCATCAATACTTCTGCCACTACTTTGGCGTGAGGGCGCGGTCGTGGCCTGGGGAGGAGGGGTGCAAAACGACCCCACTTACGCTTCATCCTCCCCAGCCCTAACCTGCTCCCCACACAGCCTCCCCCTCCTGCCCCCCACCACCTAGCTGAGGCTGGAGGCTTCCTCATCGCAGCATGACATTAACACAAGTAGAATAAGTGCTGCTCTATCCAGCATTTCATCAAGTCCAAAGAGAGTACAGGTTAAAATGCTACCAAAGTCCCCTGTATGACTAACCTTTAACCACTAACGTTCCATTAATCACTAACCCATTGAGTTCAAACCAGTCATAGGTGTAATTATTAAAAACAATCATGCCGAGAATGATACCAAATGAATTGAGTCAGTGTTATGTACTTGCGTTGCAATGCTACACATTGCACTGGACGTTGCTGGCCCAAAGACTTTACCAAAGTTTGTGTACTTACAATGTGGAGGATCCTGAGTCTCGTGGAGTCGGCCACCTACTCACATCTGACACGTATTAGGGTTTTTTTGAGTAATGAAATGTTTTTTTTTTTGTATGTATTATATAATCTGTATATTTATTGATTTCCTTTTCTACAACACAAACTGTGATAGGAGAATCTTTAATTAGTTTATAAGTCTGCACCATTATTTACATTATTTTCTGTTTTATACATTTTTAAATAGTTTATTTTGTACCTTGTTCTTGAGTCTTGCTGAAAGAGTGAGGCTCCAGGAGTGTTTAGATATCTGTTGACCCCACTACCATGACCTGCTTGACCTCAGGTTAAAGCTCACATCATGAGGCTTGAGACCTGGTCTACTGAAGCTATATAATAATTTCGGTTGAGTTATCCAGTACGTATCTGCATGGTGTCTGCGGCATAAGAGGGCATCACACTTGTGTCCCCACCAATTTGACCACTACTGGACTTTGTGTTCCCTTCAATCTGCCCTCCTTGGCACCCAGTACAGTCAATACTAGTCAAAACAAAGGTCTCACCACCCAAGACTTAAGACAAACTTGGGCAGGAACCTTTGTACATCTAGGTTTTGACAGAGGAAAGTATTTTGAGCGAGGCAAGGTGAGGTTTAGGACCCCTGGCCTAGCTGTGTTTGCTTCCTCGCCACCTCTGAGTCCCGTTGTCTTGCCAACCATCCAGGTAAACTTACCTCCCACAAATACCCTACTTATGTTCTGGCTAAAACCTGCTTACTTTCCTCCTCCTGTTTATATTATTTACTTCATTGCTTTATCTTCCTTTCATATTGTCTAATTTGCTTATTTTTCTATGGGACATTGTATATTTTTGTGCCCTTAGTCTCGACTTTGTGTAATATGAACTATGTTTCTATGTTGTTGCTTCATGGGAGGTGCCTAGATGCTGGTGAAGGGCTTTTGATACAAGGAATTGGAGCTTCCCTTCCTTTCCTTGCATTGAACCTGAGTATCTCATTCCCTAGGAGCTGCTTGAACCTTACGGGTTTAGCATTACCCATCAGTGTAATAATAATAATAGTTATACCTGTATGTTATTGCTTAAGCCGCTCATGCAGTCTTTTCCCCTTTAGTTTCTTCCCCAGAGTGTCATCTCCAGTTTTTTCTCGTCACTTATTTGTAATTACCTATTTGAGTTAGAGGATGAGCTCTAGGTCTTGGTCTCACTTCTAAATATTTAAATGACTGATTTGAATTAGCCTTAATCACCTGTCACCATTTTCTTGCCATTTGTTGTCCACCAGCCAGTGGTCCTCAGTGCCCCAGCGTTGTCTGTTACCAGTTGTGGGACACGGGTTGGGCAGGGGGGTTCGATGTCTTGTGAATCTCAACAAGTGGGTAATTTAGGGCTTCCTTGGCCCTTCACTTGGGGCATGAGTAATGTAGGCCTCCCTAATCTGTCCCTTGTGCCTTAGGTAATGTAGACCCTCTTGGCCCAAAATTTTGGCCCCTTAGCCTGTCCCTTCACCCCTTATCATTTTTTATTCAATGCTGTTAGTATTATACTGACATCAAACAAAGGACTGAATCTCAGTCATGAACCTGAGGTTGGTCCCTAACCTGAGAACACAGTTCACATCATATCTGTCATAGTTCATATTGTGGATTCTTCCCCATAAATTACAAATACAGTGGACCCCCGATTCACGAAGTCATCGGTATCCGATAAATCCGGTATCCGAAGCATTATATCGCAAAAAATTTGCCTCGGTTCCCGTTACAAAACCCGGTATGCGATACGATTCGTACGAGACGTGTCCACGTGTGGCCTGAACTGCCCCATGTGTGCCAGTGTTTACAAGCCAGCCAGTGTGCGCGCATCTAAGGATACATTCGGTACATTCCATATTATCCATATTATCAGTTTTTGGTGCTTGTTTCTGCAAAATAAGTCACCATGGGCCCCAAGAAAGCTTCTAGTGCCAACCCATCGAGACCAAGGGTGCTAATGACTATTGAAATGAAGAAAGAGATAATTGCAAAGTATGAAAGTGGAATGCATGTGTCGGACCTGGCCAAGTTGTATAGTAAATCCCAATCAACCATCTCTACTATAGTGAGCAGGAAAATGGCAATCAAGGAAGCTGTTCTTGCAAAAGGTGTAACTGTGATTACAAAACAGTGATTCCCCTTCTAAACATTAAAAACTTCGACACTCTACCCTCCTCCCATCCCATCAATCATCACCAGATCTTCATTAAAGGTAAGTGTCAATTATTCTATTGTTATTATTGTTATTGTAATTATTCTATTGCATTAAACTTAATATTTCATGTGGTAAAAGTTTTTTTTTTTTCATACTTTTGGGTGTCTTGCACGGATTAATTTGATTTCCATTATTTCTTATGGGGAAAATTGATTCGCTTTCCGATAATTTTGCTTTACAATGAGCTCTCAGGAACGGATTAATAACGTGAACCGGGGGTCCACTGTATATAAGTGATAGATGAAGCTGATGATTGTTGTCTCAGAGACATACCTCATAATCACACTTGTTTTAACTTAACTTTTTCTCTGAGATTTGTGTACGTCATGCTTTTGTCCATATTTAAATGATTGTCATTTTACATTCTTTCCCTGCTTTCTGCCCCTCCTGCCTCTACCCATTTTCATAATGGCCCTACATCTGTCCAGAATTCCCCTACTCCTACCCATAATGCCCTTGTCGCAGACACCCTATGCAGTTGGCCACCAAACACACCAACAGATTGTCTTAATATATTTTTTTTGTCTTATGTTAATGCAGCATTTAGAATATTTTGAGTCAGGTTGTTATATGTTATGTTTTACTTTTACTGGTATAGCTATTATTTTGTGTACAGTATATTTGGTTATGTAAGTGCAAGGAGGAGGTGGGAATCCCCTGCCCCCTTCCCTTCCTTGAAGGTTCTCCTTGTGCACTGGGTGAGGCTACTGACCTGTCTGGCAGTTAACACACACACTGGGTTACTTGTGAGAGGCAGATGAAGGCCACCTGTATGGCGATGGGTGAAGGATGGTTACCTGTGGAGGAAGGTCAAGGAAGGAAGGAAGGTCACTTGTGTGGAGACAGGTGAAGGAAAGTCACCTGTGTAGAGGAAGGTGAAGGAAGGAAGGTCACCTATGTAGAGAAAGGCAAAGGAAGGTCACCTGCATAAGGTAGCAGGAGTGTCGTAGCCTCACCTGCCCGCAATATCTATGTATAGTCGCACCCATCTCAGTTGCACCCGTTAAGTTTAAGTCTTTCAGATTGCACGCTTTCTAAGTCACGGATCTCAGTTTTAGTGTGTGGGGGTTGCAGCCCCCGACACAGGCCAGAAGTGACCAACCGCACTGTGTGTGGGGTGTCAGAGCCCCCGGTACAGGCCAGAGGTGACCAACCACACTGTGTGGGGGTTGCAGCCCCTGGTGCAGGCCAGAGGTGGGGTCGCAGCCCCTAGCCCAGGCCAGAGGTGACTCCCCACACACACTATTTATTAACATTATTGATGATGGAACCTATGGCAGCCTCCAACATTACTGTCAACAGTGAAGAATAAGCCACAATACCATGGCTGAAACAGTTCATGCTAATAACCCACACTTTGGGGAGGAAATTTTGGATGAGGTTTTCCAGTCTATCCAGGACCATTCTCAAGTGAAACCTCAACAAGAAAAAGAAAAAAAAACACCCCCTTCCCCTTGTTCTGTTAAACAAGACACATGTGCAGTGTTAGGATATTTTATGGGGGAAACATTTTGCCACAAATGTCTTCTTTAATTCTGAAGAAGCCATTTGGGGGAAAAATGATTCCTCAATAAATAACCTAACACTGTATGTGTCTTCTTTTACAAGTGTAAGTAGGTTTATTTAGGTACAGTTATACATAAATACAGTTACACAATTTATCATACATAGTAACATATGTGTAGATTACCTAGGATAACCCAAAAAAAAAAGTCAGAGACAGTGACTTATTTCCAATGGTGTCAGTATTATATACCAGCTCTTATCACCCCCTCCCACTACTCCTTGCATGTCAGTCTTATGAGTTCAACTTTTTCAATAATTTCTGAATTGATAATGGTGCAGAGCAGACTGAAACACCAAGCAAAGTTACCTCTTCTTAGTTATTGATGGGGTGTCAGAAATGTTGGTGTCACATGTGTATAGTGCACCGAGGCTGCGGCTTCCCTCATTATTTATGTGTTTACTGTATTATTTTGTTAATGTTTGATGGAGTGGGAATCAAGGGTTAGTCGAGAGAAGCTTAGAACAGGCGTGAGTGCTGCTGGAAGAGGTGTATCAGTTGTTAAACCCAGGTGAGAGATGCAGTAGGCCTGATGTAAGTCTAGGATGTGTCATGAGAAGTGTTCCCCACCCCAACAAGACCTGAAAGATGCAATAGGTCTAAGGTAGGCCTAGGATATATAGCAAAAAGTGTTCCCCCACCCTGGCAAGACCCGAGTGAGAGATGCAGTAGGCCTGAGGTAGGCCTAGGATGTGAGAAGTATTCCCCACCCTGGCAAAACCCGAGTGAAAGATGCAATAGGCCTGAAGTAGGCCTAGGATGAGTTGTGAGAAGTGTTTCCCACCCTGGCAAGATCTGAGTGAGAGATGCAGTAGGCCTAATATAGGCCTAACATGTCATTAGAAGTGCTCCCCACCCCAGCAAGCCCAGAGTGAAAGATGTAATAGGCCTGAGGTAGGCCTAGGATGAGTTATGAGTAGTGTTCCCCACCTCAACAAGACCCGAGTGAGAGCTGTAATAGGCCTGAGGTAGGCCTAGAATATGTTGTGAGAAGTGTTCCTCACCGCTACACCACACACTCACGCTGCCTTGGTACTTAAGCATTGTTTATACGACTTAACACTGGTTGTTACACAAGTTCCTCAGCCCTTAAGTTCACACTATGTGTAAACAACAAGTGTAGCACTAAATCCCACTGCAGATGGCAGAGCTGCATCAGCAGGACCTGCAGCCCACCAGGTGGGTCTTAAGTAACAGTGACCTGTAGCTCACTGGGTAGGTCATGGGTCTCAAGGACCTGCATCCCACCGGGTGGGGCCTAAGTAACAGGAGCCTGTATCTCACTGGGTGGGTCATGGGTCTCAAGGACCTGCATCCCACCAGGTGGATCCTAAGTAACAGCAACCTGTATCTCACTGGGTGGGTCATGGGTCTCAAGGGCCTGTAGCTCACCAGGTGGTTCCTGAATCTGAAGGACCTGTAGCCCACCAGGTGGTTCTGAGTCTGAAGGACCTATATCCCACCAGGGGGTTCCTGAATCTGAAAGACCTGTAGCCCACCAGGTGGGATTTCAGTCCTGGGAACCTGCAGTCTAGCAGGTGCATCTTGGGCCCCAAAGCCCACTATATAAACTTAATTTGTATTATTGTACGGAAGATAAATATCGATGCTGCCACATTTAGCAGCTGTTGCATGTGTTCTGGCCAGGTGTGTGTGTGTGTGTGTGTGTGCATGTGTGTTCGAGAGTCTATTTTGTGTACCTAGCAGGTGTCTGTGACGCGTGAACTAGAAGAGCGCGTCCTGCTCAACTACTGTAGGGACCCGCCTCTCGCCCTGACCCTCCCTACACTTCCCTCACCAACACAACCTCTACTTCAAACTCCCAGAAAAAATACAACCATACACCTATTCTTCAATCATTGTACTTAAACTGGACACCACAACCAGTCAGCTCTTGGACTGGGTGACCTGATATCACTGGGGCACTAGGAACAATGCCACCTATCACATGTAACCTTGTAACAGGTACAGCTGCATCCTTCACCTTATCTCTTAGGACAGTCAGGCTCTCATGATCTCCAGAAGTCTGACTGTGAACACCAGCACAGTGTTCACAACACCAGCAGCAGTGTTCACAACACTAACAGCAGTGACGAGAGGATTGTGTTAGTTCATTTTAAGTTTTCAGTATACTCTGGCAATTCCAGTTGAATACAGGTCTCCCTCAACATTTGCAAGGGTTAGGGGATCAAGAACCTCACAAATGTTGAAAAATCATGAAAGTTTGGTGCCCCAATATATTGGAGGGAAATACAGTACTGCTTCTTTAACTTGTAGAACCATGAGCAATCATAAAACACATGAAAACATCATAAAATATTGTACTAGTGCCAGCCCTTTGGTAAAGAAGGTGAGAAAAATTATAGAATTCAAGAAAGAACTTGTAGCAGAGTACCAAAGTGGAGGAGGAAGTAAGAGGGGAGAATGTGCCTTTTTCAGCGATTCAGTGATTCTGTGATATGTACGATACTAAAGCAGCATAAGCTGATAAAGGTTATAGTGCCAGCCAGCGATAAAGTGTAGCATTAACAGTGTAGCAAGTAAGTTAAGCGATTAATCCATAGAAAAAGGACAACACAAACCTAACTCCTCCAGTGTTGTTGGAGTTATACAGGGCAACTGACAACACCGCTGTCTCTGGTCTCTAGTCTCTCCTCAAGAAAGGTTCCTTGATGCTGGTGAGGGGCTCTTGATCTAGGGAATTGGATCTGTTCTCCAGTTCCCTGAATTAAACCTGAATACCTTCCACATCCCCCCCCCCCTCAGGCGCTGTATAATCTGACGGGTTTAGTGCTTCCCCCTTGATTATAATAATAATGTCTCTAGTCTCTACTGCCTCTGATGCCGCCTCCACCGCCTCTGATGCCGCCTCCACCACCACTATGTATGGCTTATGTCTCAGTGGCCCTTATACACCCAGCAACAAAACACAGCAACACTCGTGACATAATGACGTATTTTATTCATTTATATGTCATGTTTCTATGTTATTAATATTGTTTATTATGTCATATTAGATCTCTGCCATGGCCACAATTCCTAAGATATGAAATAACATACGTATTTTGAATATGATTGGGCGGCTGGGAATTTGCGAATGTTCGAAGCTCACGAAAGTGGAAAATGAGAATGTTGAGGGAAACCTGTAAGTCTTTCCATGCTGATAAGTCTATCACTAGCAATGAAGCATTCCAGCAGCAAAATTCCAGTAGAATAGGTTGTTTTAATTGAGAGTCAGTGTTGTCAGTAGGTCATTCCAGTTATGCATTCCAAGCAAGAAGCTAATAAGTCATTCTGGTGGAGTAAATCATCCTGGAAATCATATTATTCCAGTTAATTGAGTCATTTCAGCTGAGTTTGTCATCCCAGTCAAGTAGATCATTCCAATTTAACAAGTCATTTCTTTTGAGGTCATTCCAGCAGAGTATACCGTCTGCATACTGTAAATCATTCCATTTCAGCTCATCATTCTAGTCTTAATTAGCCCTCCCAGTTTGACTGGTTACTCAACTGGTAGCATTGTTTGTGTTGCTCAGGACATTTAAATTTCTGGCCTTGTGTTGCAAGCCTAAGTGGACATCACAACAGGAAGTTCTCTCTTCATCTTCATGAACATGATAAGTCTTACCGCTAGGCATTTCATAGATGCTAGGAAGGCACGAGTGATGGAGGCCTGGATAGATGGATGAAAGAAGGGAAAGGGTAGTAATATGGACTGATGGAGGATAAAGCTAGATAGCCTGACCATTACCAGGCCACAGCTCCTTCCTTGTACCAGCAAGAGCAAGGAATTGCTGAAGAATTTATGGAAATGGTGATATAATATTTTTTTAACACATCAGCCATTTCCACCCAGGCAGGGTGACCCGAAAGAGAAGAAACACTTTCATCATCACTCACTCCATCACTGTCTTTCCAGAGGCATGCCGATACTTCAGTTCATAAACTGCAACATAAATTAGTGGGAGGAAAAGGCAGTGTTTGTTGTTAGGTAATGTTAATGTTGGCTGGTGTTGATGCTGATTGTGTTGTGAAGTGTCTGCTTTAGGTGTTACTTTCAGTCTTCTTGGTCCTCTACTTATGAGACTTAAAGTGGACCTGAATGCCTGCCAACTTTGGTCCCATCATGGTTTAAGGCTCTAGTGGTGCATAATCCACAACTTCATGGTCCCCTAGCTATAGTCTTCAACTTGATCGTCTCAAATTTGATGATCCTCATCTTGAAGGTCACCATATTGAAGGTCACTGTCTTGAAGGGCCTCTGCTTGAAGGTCACCATCTTGAAGGGCCTTTGCTTGAAGGTCCCCAACTTGAGGTCTGAGACTGAAACCCAAAAAAATGTATGACCAGAGGCTCTGAAAATTTGAAGACTTCAACACTTGTAGACTTCAACACTTGTGGACTTCAAGATCTCAGAAGGTTTAAACTTAAAAACTTGTTTAATAAGTCTAATTAAGAACCTGAAAATCTTTAAGATCTGCAAACTGAATAAGACCTGACAACACTAAAAGACCTAAGTACAGTAAGTTCTCACTCAGTGTCATTTCGTTTGTCATTTCATTATAACATTGTTGAGAAAAAAAAAATTGATTCCTGGCTGGGGCCACTATGTGGAGTTGGCATGTTCGTTTTTGAACTGCGTGGTGGTAAAAGGTGCTCCTTACAGTTTTTGCTTTGCAAACATTTATTCCTTGATTTAACCCTGTTCAATGAGTGCTTAAGGTGCACTGACTGTGCAACCCTGATGTTTATATCAATTAGCCTATGGTAAAAATTGATTTTGTTATATATTTCGCTGAAAGTTCGCAGTTTCCAAGAGCCCATTGATGACATTAAGTGAGGACACTGTATACCATAAAACTTGAGAACATTTTAAAACCCTAGTACACTGTAAGACCTAAAAATACTATTGGAACATTATAAAGACCTAGGAACTCTTCAAGATCTAAGAGCTTTATATAACATAAGAATTTGATTAGCCCTTCGTATATCATAATACCTGACACTTCTGTAAAACCTTTTGACTATAGGAAGCATGGGTTACATGGGTTAATGGGAGAGGAAGGTTAGAGGGAGGGAAAAGGGGGGGGAAAGGTAGGGGGAGAGGCAGTCATGTGAATCATCATTTGTAATCAACATTTCTGAAAGAGACAAATAAACTGTGCTTCCAGGAGCTAATGACTGAGGATTTTATTTACCTTAAATAACAAACAGGAAGTGCCAAGAGGCAGAGGACACATTCATGCCAAAAAAAAAAAAAAAATAGATACAGTAACATCTTATAAAGCTAGTCTGTAATGTGATGTGTTTACAAATGCGATTGTATGAGCACATCCAGAATTGACTGGCTCGCACTATGAACGCCTTTTCACATGTTTTTAAATTTTTGATGCACTTTTTTCAATTGCATTTGAAAAGAAAAATTTCACTTTATAGAGGAGTTTTATAAGAGAGTTAACCCATGAGGGTATGATCATCTGAGGATACAAAACTATGTTGTTATTATTTTTTGGATGAGGTATGAATTGTAGCTCTGGTAAGTCAGCTGATGCCTAACCAATTAATGGGTCATAATGTGATCAAGATCTGTTTCAGGGAACACTGTTCTTAAGAACAAAAAGGCGCAGTACTGTGACTGGAACAATACACAAATAACCTGCACATAGGAGAATGAAAAGCTTATGATGGTCTATCTTGGACCATTCACATATCACAATGTGACTTGTGAATAGTTCAAGATGGTCCAAAATGTCGCCATAAGCTTTTCTGTCTCCTGTGTGTGGGTTATTTGTGTACTGTGCTGTTTCTTGATGAAAAATCACCATCATGCCCAAACACAGAGTGGTAATGGGAAGACCAGAGAGTCCATAATTTTGCCAGAGATGTAGAATGGTGAAATAAAATGACACCACAGCATGGAAAACTGCAGAAAATGGAGGATGACACAAAACAGAGAAGTGTGAGAAGAGAAACAGACATGTAAACTAAAAAGAACTTTTTGATGAAGTCATACAAGTAAAGCATAACAGAGTTTATTATTATTAATATTACATTCACTTAAAGCATAAACTCAGTAAGAATGGATAGACTACATCTTGATGGACTGCAAGAAAGCATTTGGACAGAGTACTTCCACTAATCCACAAACTTTATATAATGAGCAAAAATAAGAGGTAAGGTTATCCAGTAGATGAAGGAATACCTGAAAGGCAGATGCTAACAGTAAGGGATGAGACATCAGAATGAGAAACAGTAATGAGTGAGGTTCTGGAAAAAATAAAAAAAAATCCACTATGTACTTTAAAAATGTCTTCAATATATCTTACAGAAGCTCTTGTTTACAGACCTTCTGATGAAACACTTTCACTTTCATTACTGAACTTGAATGAGATAACTAGCAAGAAATTCCTGTGCAACTGTCACCCAGAGGAGGTACCTGTCATTGCAACCTTGCTCATTATCTCATATTTGTATTGTATTGTTTTCATCTTGTAAATAAAATAATAATTTTTAATATTTCTCCTTCATTTTGACATATCTCCCTCTTCCTAGGGTAAATCATCCAACTGTCCCCAACTATTAACTTAATGTTCTTTTTTATACAGTGTTAAGGTGAAAAATAAGTCTCGACTGATAAAATTCTGTTGTAATTTTAAACTTCCTTTATTTTTCATATTAACCTTCAAGTGCTTTAGATTCCTTGCTCATTTTTTTTGCCTTGGCAGAGTACCCCCATGGAAGGAGCAGCGGTAGGCGCATTTATTGGCACTGCACCTTTGTCCTCTATTCAAACTTGCATCAAGACTGAGCCCATGATGCCTTCCAATCCTCAGTGGCATCCTTCAACCTGCACCAGCCAAGTTACTGGCCACACTTGTCACTCGGAGTCTCAGTGTGTAGAATCGAGGAATCTCCAGACTGATACTGTGTCTTTAGAGAAATATGATGATGATCTCCCATCTTCTAAAATCTGTCATTTCAGTACCTCATTGTCAGGAATTTCTCATCTCAACTATTCATCAGAAATATCTGATCATGATTCATTATCTTCACAATATTCTTCCCATGATCCATTATCATCCGGGAACTTCCATACTGATTCCTTATTAACAGGTAATTCTGAGCATGATCCTTTATCAGTAAGAAATTTTCATATTAATTCCTTATCATCAGAGACCTCTGATAGAGAAATTTCCATGTTGAATCCTGTTATAGAAACTGATTGTGGGTCTGGACAGGAAGATGTGAACGGTCCGTTGTCTCAGGAGGACTCAGGCCAGCTGGACATAAATCTGGAAGACAGCTTGGCAGAGGACAGACTGCCAGGACCAACATTTTCCCCAGGAGTGTTGAGGTCACTGCCCTTCAGCGGACCTGCTTGGACAGCACTAGAGAATATAACCAAGAACAGTGGTGGTATTTGTAAGAACCCACAGGCAGTCAAGCAGCTGATCAACAAGGTGAGGGAACACATCCAACGACAACACCTGCGGGAGAGTGAGAAAGCTGCCACCAATACCCCAGGCCATGCTGATCACACTTACAATGCCCACAGCCAGAAGCAGCCTGCCAAAGAATACAAATGTGAAATATGCAAAAAAATCTTTCCTAAAAACCGACGTCACAGGTATTTATCCCATATCCGCATTCACACTGGGGAGAAACCTTTCAAGTGTAGTGTCTGTGGCCGAGGTTTTAACCGACAGGATCATGTTCAGGTGCACATGAGACTTCACACTGGTGAAAAGCCCTTCCACTGCACCTTATGTGGTATTGCATACACACACAAAGTCTCTCTCAAGAATCACAGGTGTGAGAATATACAGAGTGGAACCAATGATGGACAGTCACAGCCTTCCTCAGGAGAACCACCTACTGCTTCACCCTCAACACCTGCCATCTCTCGTGACCCTTTAAAGATAGACTTAGTTTCTCAGCATACAAAGAAAAATTCCACTACATTGATAGAAAATAATTCATCAGTGAACCAAGATAGTTGCAAGAGGGCAAGTAATCACTGTGCTCAAGCTAAGCCACCCCAAGACCGTCCTCCTGATTATCAGACTAACCCAAACACTTCCTCTGATCTCAACAACACACCTGACTCAACTGGGCAATCTTCCTTGAGTTTGCAACCTTCCCCTGACATCAAATCTTCACTAAATATTAAATCAGTCTTCAACTTGCCAGATACTCAGCTTGCTCAAAGTAGCCAACCTTTCCTTAATGTTCAGCCTGTCACAAAACACCAAGATATATTTAACTCTCATTCTTCCTGTGTCTCTGAGCCTGATGGGAATACCTCACTTTCCCCCCACCATCACTCCACATCGGTATTTCAGAATCTTGCACCATCACTATCACTCTCAACACCAGAGACCAGCACTGCCAGAAAGGGAAAATTGAGGATCTGTGATATAGGTAAGTTCATTGCTGAAAATAACGTAACTGAAAAAGATGATACAAGAGACCACTTAGATTTAGATGCATCAACACCAAATAGTGACATGAGTAAGCTACAGTGTTCCAGACAAGGTGCTGCTAAGTATCTGAAGAGCGCTTCAGGAAATTGTAACTCACGAGATTCTGTACAAACCACTTCGGATTTTTTTAATAAAGATGCAGAAAGTCTTAAGGATCCTTTGCGAGGATCCCCAGAAGTTTCACAAGAAGTCTTGGAAGAGATAAATACTCAGCATTCTTTGGAAAAAAATTCAGAAGCTGTGAAAGGTGATTCTGAAAGCAGTAGTACCAATGATTATTCTCGAGTAACTTTAGACGATGTGAAAGGTATTAGTACTGACTCGAGGCCAACAAACTCTGCAAGAGTCATCAGTCCCTTCAAGAGGCTACTGGTGGAGAGTTCCTCATGTGGTCAGTCAGCAGTAGAAGGCAGCAGCCGCCACACAATTCCCAGTTGGTGGGGACGACCTCAAGTCATGCCCCTACGGCTCAGATCTAACAAAGTTTCCTCTAATTAATGCTGTTGGAATCGTTTGACCTAGCAGATTCTATATCATACTTCCTGAGTCTGTTAATTCCAACTCAATTAAATTTAGGTTTATTGTGCAAAATTTACAGCATTAATTACAGGCGGCCCTCCACATTTGTGAGGGGTTAGGGGGATCAAGAACCTAACGAATCTTGAGTAATAGCATTTACTTAGCCTAACAATACTACTTCCTTAACCTCTTGAACTGCGAACAATCATAAAACACATGAAAACATCGTAACATAGTGTATATACTACATGTTATGATTGGGCGGCTGGACATTCGCAAATGTTCGAAGCTCGCGAATGTGGAGGGCTGCCTGTATATGTTATTATTTTCATTCAGAATGGGTTATGTAAAGTCCATCATCATTGTAGACAACCAAAAGTATTCAAGTTTGATTCCTGGGAGAACCAACATGTACTGGCAAGTCTCCATACACCTGCATCTGTTCATCTGGCAGCAAATAAAAACTCCTTAGGTGGTGGTTGACTGCTATAGGTGGCTGGTGGAGGACAACCCACAATGAAACAAACAAGCAAATTTTATTTCTTTGCAAAGGTTACAATGTGTGATTTATATTTTATAAAGTGTTGTTACATACAAAGAAAGCCACTAGCATGCCAGGGCATTTCAGGCAGACTAATCCTAATACTTACAGACTACTAAAAACTAGACATAGGTTATAGAGTGGTAAATTTTAATTATTCATTATTTTACCTTATTATTAAAGTGAGGTAGCCATATTTTTTTATAACTAATAAGATTTATAGTAGAGGTAGTACAAAACAAATAACATTTTACAATTAGTACAGTTTATAATGATACAACAATACAATTTTAAGTATGTATTGTTTTAAATTAATTAAGGTCATAATTTTTGGGATATTTTGAGTCGTTTCAAACTGGTTGAATGATTTAGCATAGTGTTGATATGGTTAGTTTTGGGAGATGAGATGATTTTTAAGTATAACCCTAAATTGATTTGCAGACAGGGGACCTTTTGCTGGCTCAGGCAATGAATTCCAGATCTTAGGGCCCTTTATGTGCATTGCATTTTTGTACAGGGCGAGATGGACATGAGGTATGTTGAAGAGTGTTATGCCTGTGTGTTCTGTTGTAGCTATCAAGGAGAAGTTTGAGTGGAGGGTTTATATTGGATTTTAATGTTCTGCATATATAGTAGGC